AAAAAGCAAAAAGACAAAACCAAAATCTTTTGTAACATTATGGGACAATTGTAAATTTGACCACTGTCTAGATATTTAATATTGAGGAATTATTTTTTAAGATATAATGATATCATGTGTATATGTGGTTTATTTTTTTCCTTTGGTTTTTAAGTATCTTTTTGAGTCATGTTCTAAAATACTGAAGAGTGTAGTGTTAAATTGTCTGTAATTTGCTTCAATCTAATTTAGGTGGAGAGGGGGAATGCATGGAGATGTAGATTGAAATAAGATTAACCATAAATGGATAATATTGAAGCTAGGTAATGGGTATGTGGGGCTTCAGTATACTAGTTTTTTTTTGGTATACTAGTTTTACCTATTTTTAGATCTCTGTTTGAATTTTTCCAAGTACAAAGCTAAAAATATTACAGGTGGACCACTTTGTCTTTAGATGAAGATTTAGTTTTTCAATTTTTGCTACTTGTTTACCGAATTAGTAGTTAACTTAAGTGGTAATGTTTTTGGTCTTCACTTGTTGGCCATGAAGACTTTTTCTGAGTGATCCAGTTCATTTCACTGAGATTAAAGCCTTTGTATCATTTTACTATGTTAATATTTTGATAATAGCTCCCTGACTACATCTGTGTTACATCATATGTCTCTTAGATATTTTTTTTGAATACTCTTGATGTTATTGTGAAGAGCACATGGTTTTCTAATATACTTTTTTCGTAGTTTGTGAGTTTGGGGTTTGTGAGTCAATTACAGTTATACATTGACTTACTTTGTGTATAGCACATGCTAGAAGGTTGAGAAGAGATCTGAATTTTGAGCCGTCAACAGTATTACGAGATATTATAATCTAGTTTAATAACTTTTCCTCTATGTGCTGTTTTTCTAAATATGTTTCTAGCTCTAGCTGAATTCACAGAAGCAGATGAAGCAATGGCAGAGCTTGCAATTGCTGACAATGTTTTCCTGTTCCTCACTGAGTCCGTAGTGGTGTCAGAAAACTTCTATCAGGAGGAATTTTATATACGTAGAATCCATAATCTCATCACAGATTTCCTGGCACTTATGCCAATGAAGGTAAGCATAATAATGTAGGGTGCATAAAAAGTAGTAGAAGAATTTTATAAGATAATTTAAAATTGATTAATTAACCAACTATGTTTTGGAAACTAATAAAATCTTTTATTACAGACTAATATTCAGCAGTAGTAGTTATGTTACGCCTTGTGAATGAGTTTGCGATTCATGAAAATGAAACAATATAAGACCCATTAACTGAGAATAAACTAAAAGGAGGAAACATTTGAATTGAGAATAGTTTATAATGAGAAAGTAATAAGCAAATGAAAATTTCTATTTGTAGAAAATTATTAACTCCATGCTACTCTGGGGAATCAATGCTAAGGCTTTTTATACACGAGTTTTTAAATGCTTTTTATACATGATTTGGAAGAGGCATAGTGGAAAATCTCCAGTTTTGTAGATAATTGTTTAGACTCTTAATTGTAGTGTGAAAATGGACTTCCACATGGATACAGATAAATTAATGAATTTAAGAAACTAATGCAAAGTTTACTTTTATCCTTTCTTTTTTTTTAAATAACAGGGTCCATGGGCCCTGGCCACCTCTGGTAAGGTTACTTTTAAATAAAGCATTGGAGCTATAACTTTGATCCAAAAAAGTTTTCTTAGAGCTATTTCAGGCAGTTCTTACATAGTATATGTTCCATGTGCCATTTTGTGCCTAGGAAGCCATTGAAGTGGTGGTGGGAAATTAAAGAGGGAATAAAGTCCTATAAAACTGCCTTTGTTTATGTGTGTTATAAAAAAGCATCCGAAGGGTCTACACTTGTAATACTGTTGTGTAGTTCTTTTTTTTTTTTTTAATTTGAATCTATTAGAGGTTTTATTGGGACCACATTGAAATTAGACATTAACTTATAGAGACATAATGTATTCTTAAAATACTGAGTCTTCTATTCAGGCAAAGTAGTATAAGATGTGCGGTTCTGATACCATACCTGCTAAAAAACATAAAGCAGAGGGACCAAATACTCAGAATGGTAATAAGCAATCAAGGAGTTGAATGCTTCCTCATGCTATAATGGATCAAGTGTTCATTGAGTTCCTCCTGTGCTCCAGATACCTATGCTAGGAGTTGTGAAGAAGACAAATGAATAGGAGACTCATTCCCTGCCAGCAGAGAATGTTTAAGCTAGTTGGCAAAATAAGATATACACAGAGAAATATAGGTAGTAAATGACCAGTGTAGACAGTAAATTACAATGGATTTCTTAGGCTAAGGCTATCTCACTCAGGACTAAGCTAGTCAATGAGTGTTTATCAGATAACTTGAGCCTTCATCAGCTTTGAAGGACGTGCTAGATTAACATCATAGAATTTTAGAATAGGAAGAAATCTTTCGTTTTACAGTTGTGTAAATGAAGCCCTAGAAATGGTTAAGGCTTTAACTTTCTCCTAATTGTTGGCCCAGAAGGGAGTTTTATTATGGAAAGATAATGGTGATCTGGAAAAGATGAAGGCTGAGAGGAGTTCGAATAGACAAAGTCATAAATGGCTTGGATAGAGGGGAGGGTATAGCTCAAGTGATAGAGCACATGCTTAGCATGCACGAGGTCCTGGGTTCAATCCCTAGTACCTCCTCTAAAAAATAAATAAAGCTAATTACCTGCCCCCTAATAAACAAACAAGCAAACGTCTTGGATAGGATAAATAGTGAAGTTACTCACACAATTCTGGGATGCTAGAGTTTTGTTAACAGATACAGTACTATTTAGCTTATCTATTTCTCCTTGAATGGACTTCGGTGGTTTGTGTCTGTCAGTAAATTTGTACATTTCATTCCAGTTATCAAATTGATTCAGCATAAAATTATTCCTAATATTTCTATATTAATACTTTTTATGTCTATATGATCTGTAGTGATACTTCTTCTTTCATCCCTAATATTGGTAATTTGTGTCTTCTTTCTTTTTTCTTAATCTGGCTAGAGGTTTACCAATCTTATTGATCTCTCCAGTGAGCCAGCTGTTGGCTTCATTGATTTTCTTATATTTTCTTTCACTGTTACTGATTTCTGCTTCTGTTATTTTCTTCCTCTCTATTTGGGTTTTAACTTGCCTTTATCATTTCAGGTTTTTAAGGTGGAAGCTTGGGTTATTGATTTGAAACTTTTCTTTTTTTCTAATATAGACATTTAATGTTATAAATTTATCTGTAATTACTGCTTTAGCTTATTTTATAACTAAGTATATAACCTGTTTTGATAAATGTTCTATATGCATGTGAAAGGGATATATTGTTGCCGTTCTATGGAGTGTTCTTTAAATGTCAATTAGGTAAAGTTGGTTGATAATGTTATTTAAATTTACCATATTTTTACTGATTTTCTGTGTACTTGTTCTATTGTATATTGAGAGAAGAGTGTTGAAATCTCTGCAACAGTAATTGTGAATTTGTTTAGCTATGATTTCTTATGTCAGTTGACATTTAATTGACACATATTGTAAGGCAATGGTTCTTAACCCTAGTAGTCCTTCAGAATGTGTTTGGGAAATGAGTGGGGCTACTTTTGCTCTCGACGTTGACTGTAGTGGTGGCATTGGTGGTAGGTAATTCCAGGGATGCTAAACGTCGTGTTAAGTTCAGGATTATCCATCCCAGTAAAGAAATATTCTGCCCCAAATGTCAGTAATTGAGAAACACTGGTTAAAATCAACTTACCTGTAGTGGAAAATACATTGAAGTTTTAAGATATAAATGATGGATAATAATATTGCAATAAAATTCCTAACATTTTTTCACATCATTAAAGTAGAATAGATATTTAAACAGTGTTTTTTTTCATGTGATCACTTTTAGACAGTTGCCTGATTTGCTGATTTCATTATTAATCCATATAATAAATTTACATTTAAACCATATATAATTAATAGGTGAAACAGTTGAGGAATCGGGCAGATGAAGATGCTCGAATGATTCACATGAGTATGCAGATGGGCAACGAACCACCCATTTCACTTAGAAGGGATCTGGAACACTTAATGCTTTTGGTAAGTCATTACATTGGATGGATTGTCATCTCCCTCCCTCCGTTTATGTTTTCAGTAACTTCGGAAGATTTCAGGTCTAATATCTTAAATATACAAATGAGTTCAATAAGAATGTAAATTTTTATTTGAAAGTAATTTGTAACTTATAGATGTTTTCCCACAGTCTTTGTTTACTCTTTGCAGATTGGTGAACTATATAAAAAGAACCCTTTTAATTTGGAGCTTGCGCTAGAATATTGGTGTCCCTCAGAGCCTCTTCAGACTTCCACTATCCTGGGTTCCTACCTGGGGGTGGCTCATCAGCGACCCCCTCAACGCCAGGTGAGCTTTTAGTTTTTCTACTTTCATACTCTGGGGTGGTGATTGGAAATCTTAAAAACATGAAAAATGATATTTCCTGATGTTATTGCTATTAACAGAAATGAACAGTATTATAACCTTTAGACATTTACACTTTATTTAAGGAAATTGAAACTCTTAAATTGAAGATCTGATCATTTTGGGGTTTATATAGTCAGACCTTGTATGCACTGAATCATAAAGACACAAAAAGGTGTTTAGTTTCTTCATAAGTCACTAATTTGGACTTTGTTAGTATTTATTAGCTTCTGTCTGTCCTATATAGGCATACAATGACCAATGTACATCATTCTTAGCAAGGTAGGGAAGATAGGGGAGGCACAAATACTAAAGGAAAAGGCCTAGAAATTATAATTAATGACAAAATGCCTATGAGTCAGTAGATAATATAGGAAAAAGTCCATTTTCTATCCTGTATTAACTAAAGTTTGATATGCAGCAGCAAATAAGATGGATTGCCATATCTGTCGTCATCTTTTTGGGATTTTCTATTCTAGATGCTTTCATACCATATAATATAATTTCATTTATGCTAGAGTCGAAGATCAGACCCCTCCCCTCCTTTTACTGTATTTCTTACATTTATTGTTCTACTTTTTTCCCCATTTAAAAAATGTTTTGGAGAAGGATTTACTAAAAAATTTTAAAGATTAAAAAAACTTTCCATTATGAAAGTTTTCAAACATATGGAAGAGAATAATTATAATGAATACCAACATATTTATTTAATAGCTGTTAACATCTTGCCATGTTTACTTCTCTTGTTATTTCTACTGCTTTTATTTTGCTGGGGTATTTTAAAGTAAATTATAGACAGCATGGCATTTTACCTCTCATTGGTTACTATCTCTTAAAAATAAGGATATTTTTCTTCATAATCACAAAAGCATTGTCATTGTTAAACCTAACAGACTTGACAATTTTCCAGAGATCTGTAACATTTTCAGTGCTGAGTTCCAACTAATAAGTCTGAATGTTTTGTTATTGATAATAGATTTAAGGCATAAGCAAGAGTAAAGAGAAAACTAAGAAGTGAACTTACAGAAGTGTAGGAACATGATACAGGCAAGAACACAAAATAGAGTATGTGTAGATTACCATCAAAAATTCTCTAAGGTTCCTAAATCTTTATATTAGATTTGACTAGGATTTGGGAACTCTGGGCTCTAAATATGTCTTTGAATTTGCTGATTAATTTTAGATAAGTAGATTTCTTTTAATTGTTTAATATATCTAGAAAGTGAATAGTCTTATGTTTTGTAACATTGAGATGTTTTGAAAAAATGTACTTTATGTTCATAAAGATATTCTATAATTGCATTAAATTGCTAATGACAGAGTTGAAAATGTAATTTTTCATAAATAGAATACCAGATTATTTTGCTTCGGGGGGTTTTAAATGAGAGTACTTAATTTGTTTTAGTGCATACATAGTCTTTATTAGCTACTCCATGTTGGCTTTAAAGTTAAGATATGCTTTATGTAAACTATTGCCTTTTTCCTATTTCAGGTTGTCTTGTCCAAATTTGTTAGGCAAATGGGTGACCTGTTGCCTCCAACTATTTATATTCCTTATTTGAAAATGCTTCAGGGATTGGCCAATGGGCCCCAGTGTGCCCACTACTGTTTTAGCCTGCTCAAAGTCAATGGTAGCAGTCATGGTAAGAAAAATCTGGATGTTGTCTGAGCTTGTTGTGACATTCTTAGTTCACTAGTTCAGTATCCATATACCTATTAAAGCATATTATGTTAGGTTCTACCAGGCATATGCATTATTTTTGTAATGGAGAGAAGCACACTGCTGGCTCTATATATGATGATGCCTTGATTATGGTCTCATGAATTGGGGAATTTTACCATTTGCTTTGTAAAATACAGTTCAGTTTAAGAAATCAGAATTGATATAAATTTTCAAGAACACATCTGGTGCTCCAAGCAAAATATACCCCTTGCTACATAAGTTTGATTTCTTTAGTTTATCTTCATAAGTCCTTGTTTTCTAAATTTCTGTGCTTACAGTTTTTCTGTCAACCAGTTTTCTTCTCCCAGTTTCCTCATTAAATTTTCAGACTTGAGTCTGGTTAAACCAAAAATACTATAAAAGGGAAAAGAAAGAAATATATATTAAACATCTCTGTTAAGTAGATATTATTTCTTTAATTTTCACATGTGAGGAATCAGGTTTAGAGAAGTTAAGTAATTTACTGAAGGTCATAGGTAATAGGGGAACCATGATCGGAGCTGAGATCGGTCTGGCTCCAAGACGGTGTTTTGGCTATTCTGTCAAGGCATGCTTATATTGTCTGCTAGACTTTTGGTCTCAGTGTTTGGTATGTAATAGAGTAGTGTAGTTTACAAATCTAGATCGGAGTTATCTCTTTCTTTGGGAATTTAAGCTCAACATTTGGAAACTACTCATGACATTAGTTACATGACAACACAGAGTACTGGCCTGGAAATGAAGTAGGTTAACTGACATCCAAAGTAATTTACTTTTGCCTTTATATGGGCACCACCCAGTCTTAAGTCTCAAAGAATTAATCCAGAGTTCTAGTTTACAGAGGGTTTCTAACTCATTTTCAACGTACTACTTATCTAGGACAAAGGCAAAGTTTATTGTTTCAAATTTAATGTCTCCCGCCATTTCCAAGCAACTGCTTAGACACTTTTGAAAACAAGTTCTGTGCTGTGTTTCTTTACAGTTGAAAATATTCAGGGAGCAGGTGGCAGTCCTGTTTCCTGGGAACATTTTTTTCATTCCTTAATGCTTTACCATGAACACCTCCGGAAGGATCTTCCAAGTGCAGATAGTGTCCAATACCGTCACCTTCCTTCACGTGGCATCACTCAGAAGGAGCAAGATGGATTGATTGCTTTTTTACAGCTCACATCTACCATCATTACTTGGGTAGGTAACCCATCCACAGCATGTGAGAACATAATTTTATTTGTATTCTAGCACAGTGGCATTATAAGGAGCCCCCAAGTTTTCTTGTTATGCTTAAAGTGTATGAATGGTAAATTTAGCATGTGTATATAGCATTCTGTTCTTAAGCTCTTTGTTTCTTCGTGTAGTGGGTGTCATTATGATAACGCCTGCTTATTCCAGTAAGCTATATGAAAATAATAACCTAAGCCCAAATGAAAATAGAAGGGCAAATAAGAGTCAGTTGTTCCATACACATCCTTTTAGAAGGTTTCCTAGCATGGGTATGGATATATATGTGTTTGTGTGTATAAAGAATATTTTTAATTAAAAAGAAAATGTTTACTCAATCTTTTTTCTTTCCTTACACCAAACCATTTTACCTGCCACTAGCAAATGAGTTTTTGTAAAAACATTATTATCATTACATAATTTCCCTGCTCAGAAATCTTTTCTAGTTATTTTTTTATTGAAGTATATTTGATGTACAATATTATATAAGTTACAGGTGTACCGTATAGTGATTTACAATTTTTAAAGGTTATACTCCATTTTTAGTTGTTATAGAATTTTGGCTAATATTCCCCATGTTGTACAATATATCCTTGTAGCTTATTTTATACATAATAGTTTGTACCTGTTAATCCCTTACCCCTGTATTGCCCCCCCTTCCCTCTCCCCACTGGAAACCACTAATTTGTTCTCTGTATCTATGAGTCTGTTCTTTTTGTTAATATTCACCAATTTGTTGTATTTTTTAGATTCCACATGTAAGTGATATACAGTATTTGTCTTTTTCTGTCTGAGATCTGTCTGGCTCCAAGATCTGTCTGGCTCCAAGTGACTTATTTCACTTAGCATGTAATACCCTCCAAGTCCATTCATGCTGTTGCAAATGGCAAAATTCCACTCTTTTTTATGGCTGAGTAATATTCCAGTGTGTGTGCGTGTGCGTGTGTGTGTGTGTGTATCACATTTTCTTTATCCATTAATCTGTTGATGGACACTTAGGTTGCTTCCATGTCTGAGCTATAGTAAATAATGCTGCTATGAACATAGGAGGTGCAGGTATCTTTTGGAATTAGTGTTTTTGTTTTTTTCAGATATATACCCAGGATATATTGCTAGGTCATATGGTAGTTCTAATTTTAGTTTTCTGAGGCACCTCCATGCTGTTTTCCACAGTGTCTGCACCAATTCACATGCCCACCAACAGTGTACAAGGGTTCTCTTTTTTCTACATCTTTGCCAACATTTGTTATTTATGTTCTTTTTGATGATAGCTATTCTGACAGGTGTGAGGTGGTATCTAATAGTGGTTTTGATTTGTGTTTCCCTGATAATTGGCAATGTCGAGCATCTTTTCATGTGCCTGTTGGCCATCTGAATGTCCTCTCTGGAGAAATGTCTGTTCAGGTCTTCTGCCTATTTTTTAAACGGGCTGTTTATTTATTTATTTTTTTTGATGTTGAGTTGTATGAACTGTTTATATCTTTTGGATATTAACCCCTTATGGGTTATGTCATTTGCAAGTATTTTCTCCCATTCAGTAGATTGCTTTTCTATTATGTTGATGGTTTCCTTTGCTATGCAAAAGCTTTTAAGTCACATTTGTTCTTCTAGTTGTTTATGTTGTTCAAAGCTAAGTTCTTCAGTCTGATATTCTCTCTGAAGGATAGATATAGTGTCTTCTAACTTTTTGGTTTTAGTAATGCTTTAACATTATTGAAAAATCAAAACATAAAGTGTATAATTATTTCTCATTGAATTAAAATGGAGTGAATTAAAATTAAAATGGATGCTATGTTTGTATTTCCATTTTTTTTCCTTAGAAAAAGACAAGGTATTTTATTCATTGATATATTACATTATAGTACAATATATTACATTGTTCCAGAAAGGATTTCAAATGCCTAGGTAAGATTTATGTGACCCTGGCAGACTGTTTGTCTTTTTTTGTATAAATTATTTTCCGTTGTTAGAGCTGTAAAAGTAACTCTACAAAGGCTATTTTTCCTCCATGTTTTACATTGTCTGGGCTGGTGATCTGGTTTGATCTCCTGGTAGAATTCAGGCATTTGCCATGGGCTTATCTTTGTTTTAGGATGTCTTATAAGCCTGTGAATACTCAGTATAAGTGTTAGCAATCTAGCTGATTGCTGGTCATTTTTCTTAGCTTTTAAAGATGGAAAGTCTCTTATTCTTTTTGTATTCTGTTCTTAGAGTGAAAATGCTCGTTTGGCACTCTGTGAACATCCTCAGTGGACCCCGGTGGTAGTGATTCTGGGACTCCTGCAGTGCAGCATCCCTCCTGTTCTAAAGGCTGAACTACTGAAGACACTTGCAGCATTTGGGAAATCTCCTGAAATTGCTGCTTCCCTCTGGCAGTCACTGGAATACACTCAGGTAGTGTTACAATCTTTCTTATTTATATTTTTACAGTTTGGAAAGTGAGGTTTCATAATGTATAAGCAAGCACATCCAATTTGAAACTTATAGTATACCATAAACTTCCCAGATAGGGAATTAGGATTTTGGTACCAAGCATAACATCAGAAACTAATAGGCTTGGGTTTTTCTCTTGGATCAGTTCACAACTTCACTGGGTTGCTGGAGACTGGCTCTTCTCTTAAGACTTTGTTTCCCATTGTCTGTAAGATTAAACAATGGACAGAATTCCTCAACTCTGTCTTTGAGACTAAGCTGATATAAGCCTTCAGAAGTCATCTGTACTCAGTAAACGTGGGGAATGCCTACTTTTCCTTTTTGCTAGTTCCTTCTGGGCCCTTTCTGTCCCAAAGCAGATGAGTGAAGTGTCTCTATCAACTCTTACTTCTTTAGATGTAAGCCCTATTGGAATTTTTCTGTTAAGACAGTTATTCGATATGTGGTAAAGACAAAAAGGAAAATGAGAATGTGTTCTATAGAGAAACTTGTAGGAAAATGGTTAGGTGAAGTACGTGTTTGTCTTAGAAGTACTACGACATAGGGAGCCTGTGGTTCTAACACACTGGTGGAAGCAGCTGTTATGAAGCAGCATTCTAGTTATTTTCTAACGTATGTGTCCAGAAGATGTTAGTGATAGTTATCAAAACAAAAATTAAGGGAATGGATGTGTACTGGGAGGCTGAGTCACTTTTAGTTTAGTATTGATACTTCATTTTTTCATTCATGACTGTCAGTGCTTATCGTTGTCCTAAATGCTTAGTGCTTCTTAATACCTAAGATGGAGTGTGATTGGGTTTAGACATTTTTATCCGTAAAGTAAGACTTTTTTCAAAAAAGGATTACACCTAATACTATATTCTCAATTTGCAAGAGATTAAGTAACATGATGTTAAGTATGATTAATTATACCATAGACTATTTATGCCTCTAGCAAGATCAGGACAGAACTTCTTAACTCAAAACTTCTGCCCACATAAGAAACGTGTTTTTAACAAATTTACTTCTTGGTTTTCCGGTGCCAATAGTAGACCTGGTTGTAAAGGACCAGTGTCATAAGCACTGGTGAGATTTCATCCCATAAATTCTTTTAAGATTCATTCCTAGAATATCTGGGAGGAAATTTGCTGAAAACATATCTTGTGTGCACTTAGAAATTACCACTTTTCTGAAGTCTAGGTAATTGAAAGTTTTCCCTGGTGCTGGATGCAATTGCTAATGAAAGTTCATCAGAGACTTCTCAGTTGTCTTTTCTGATTGACATTTTAAGATGTATTGATGTGGTGGGTGAGCTGTATGACTGTTATTGCAAAGCTGCTACTTTCACTGATAAATGAGGAATGCTCCTAACATTTAATTCTTATTATTTTAAGATACTGCAGACTGTAAGGGTTCCAAGCCAGAGGCAAGCTATTGGTATTGAGGTAAAGTTTTCCTTTTAGCTTTAAATGCTATATTCATACATTCACATGATAAAAAGACTAAGAAAAAAAAATTCTTACCTTATGGAGTTCTATAATTTTCAAATTTAACATATTTTCATTTAAGGGTTTTCTGTGTTGAAATGGAGAAACTTTTTATGAAAGGAACCAAAATACTTTGGGCTTCAGAGTTGGAAAAGTATATTAGATGGTAGCCATCCAAATGGAAAATTTGGTTTGAACTCAATTTAATTAGGTTACTTTAGTCAACCTAAAGTGGGAATTTACTTGTTTTAGTCTCTTCTTCTCATACTCCCTTCCTCTTTTTTGAAGAAACACTTAAGATTTCTATTTGTAACTTTTGTGTCTTTACCTGTAAATGAAAAATGGTAATATCAGTATGGGTCTTTGGGTGTGCTATTATACTAATATTAATGAGTTAATGTCTGAAAAATGCTTTGCACTATATTACAGCTGATGGTTTTATATTACTGAAATTCATTCATTCATTCATTCATTCATTCATTTATTTTGGAAGGTGGAACTAAATGAAATAGAATCCCGGTGTGAAGAATACCCGTTGACTCGCGCCTTTTGCCAGCTAATTAGTACCCTGGTGGAGAGCTCCTTTCCTTCTAATTTGGGTGCTGGACTGCGGCCCCCTGGCTTTGACCCGTATTTGCAATTCCTTAGAGATTCTGTGTTTCTCCGATTCCGTACAAGAGCTTACCGGAGAGCAGCTGAAAAGGTTATGTTCAGAGAAAAACTTTTGTCTCCTTATTCATTTATTGCTCCTTTTTCTTTTATTTAAAGGCATTAGATGCTATAAATTCATTTTAGCTTTTAAAAACTAGTAAAATTCATGTTCTTTTACTGACACATCCATGATCCAGTTGGTTTATTTGTATTAGAAAATAAATTTGGTCATTAAAGCCAAAGCATTGACTTTTTAGTGATCAGCAGTTTAACTGATACGAATTCATAGTTACTCAGATCCTTAATTGAACAAATTTTGACCAAAATTGAACGAAAAATTGTATACTTTTGGCAGTTCAAAACACAGTATCCTTTATCGGGATGATTTAGGTTAGGGATTGAAGTAAGTTTACACGTGCACAGCAATTTCTAATGATTAGTAGCACTTCTGGGTTGTAGAGTCTTGGCTTAGTGGGAAGTGAGTATTGTAGCTCATTAGGTGTGTTTGCCATGGGTAGAGGCTGAAGGAGCACTGACATTTATGCACATAATTGCTCTGGTTGCAACACATACGTAACTGAGCTTACTGTATGTATCATCTTATGTCATTCTAATGTTACTGTGAGGCAGGTACTATTAATATTCCCATTTTACAGATGGAGGCTTAGCAAGGTTAAGGAACTTGCCTAAGGTCCAGGACCAAGATTTGAACCTAGGACTCTGATTCCAGATCCAAGCTCATAACCACTAAGCTATGTAAGAGACCCTTCCAGGTTCTGATGTAATTACTTTAGTTTATAATACTGTATATTGATTCACAGAGTACCCTTGGATGTATGCAGTGTCATTTCTGCTTTATTTTTATAGTTTGCTGTTTTTGAACCTGTTGGGTTTACTTGTTGTATTAGTGATGATAAAATAATTGAGTTCATGCTAATTTGGGTCAATTAGGAAAATTAGAAAAATATGAGAAGAAATTATATCTCCTGTAATCCTGTTGCCAAAGGAAAGATAACCACTTCTATTCTTTTTCCTTTGCATTTCTACTTAAATAGAGATAATTAGCTACATTAGCTTGTATCCCTTTTTAACCACTAAACATAGTGTTATGAGGATGTTTTTCATGGTGTTAATGGTTTTTGAAAACAGTCTTTTAATGACTGCATAACCATTACGTGTACCTAGCGTAGTTTATTTTTCATTGCCCTATCATTGGACGTTGTTTGTTTCTAATATTTAGCCCCAAATGACTAAAGTTTATTTTTTGTCAATTGCTTTACAGTTTTTGCCTCTCATGTGATAGAAATAAACTCTGAAAGGGGTATACATTTTATCAAAGCCCTAGAATTCCCTCATTAACATGTATTTCCTTATTTAATGAAAACAGTAACAGCAACCATGCCTCATCAATAAAAGTCACTTCTGATGGATAATGGATGCTGATAATTGCAATCTCTTCAACAAACTGTTCTGATACTTTTTGGCATTTCTTTTAAATATCTTACTTGCTTTTTCTTAAGAAGGTCATCGTGACCTAAGTGTTTAGAGCTTTAGTCAGCCAAGTTCTTTCTCGGTGTTTATTATTTTTCACCCATGTGTTTCTGTCTTTCTAGTGCTGCTGCTCTCCCTGGCTACCACTGGTTTCAGTTTTACCCCGACTACTTACCTTAAGAAATTATCCCTCAATTCTGTGAATTTATTTTACTTGGAAGTCTTTTTCAGGTTTAACTTAACATCATTATATTAAGAACACTAGTTTCTCACAAAAACAGTGCTTTGGATTGAGATAAATAACTATAAACAGAGAGTTAAAGACAGTGTGTATATTTATTAATCCTAAAACCCACTGTTATGTGGCAGTAAGCCTTTTTTTTTAAATAAATGACTTTGACATTTTTAAAAAATATAGAAAAATGAATAATTAAAAAAAATTTTTTTAAATGACTGTTGTAGTCCCAGTTCTCAAAATCAGCCTTGAGAAAATTATGTGCCATGGAAATAATGACTTTAAAATAATAATTTAAAAAACCCCCATCTACAGTTACCAAACTCGGATAGAAAATTCTATGTAATGGACTTTTTAAGCAAAGTTTAATTTTACTGTCTGTATAGTTGTATATACTTTTCCTTTGCCAGAAATATTTTTCCTTGTTGATACATAGCTTTTAAAAACACTTAATGAAGAGGTGATAATAGGGTCATTTGTGGGAGGTCTACCAGTGATTCTTAACTTCTGTGGTTCAAGCCATGGGATAGAACACTGGTCTGGGAATGAGAAGTGCAGGGTGGACTTACAGCACATTTGCTGCCAGGCTTTATGGTCTTGGGGAAATCATTCACTGCTCTGAGCTTCCATGCTTCACCTGTGAAATAAGGGTGATTAGAGGAGATGCTTTCTCAGATCTGGTCCATCTGAGATCCTGAGAGAAACTGAAATATTTGAAACTTCGGAGAAGTGTTCAAATCTGATGTTGTTTAATTCTAAATTGCCTATGGCTAGATACTGAGTGCTTTAGATTTATTAACAAGTCCTAAATATCTGCTATAGAAATGTTTCTTTTACGAATGTTTTACCTTGAAAAATTAGCCTTTAGCATTGACCTTTAGCAAAGCAAAGCAAAATGAATTGGGATCTCTATATTGCTTGGCATAAAAAAAGTAGAAAAGGAACTTCGCTCATTTTCTGGAGAAAAGTGAGATGAATGAAAAACCTAGCAGGCTGTCACCTTGGACTGTTGCTGTTACTGAAATACTTGTGTCTGTGTAGTGGGAAGTGGCTGAGGTCGTTTTGGAGGTGTTTTATAAATTGCTTCGAGATTATGAACCTCAACTTGAAGATTTTGTAGACCAGTTTGTGGAACTACAAGGTAAGTTAATTTTGTCACTTTCAAATAAGATGTTAGCTATTTATAAAGCTATTTCTAATTTATAAATTATTATACATAAGATATAAATTATTTCTGTTTATAGATTAAATTAGAATTTTATAGTTTTTGTTAACATTGTTTTAGTCATTTTGATTGTTCTGAGCAAGAGAAAATAAAGTGAAATTTTACTGAGTGGAAGACTAAGAACACTATCTTACAGATTCTTTAATGAGTTAACATGTAATCTGTGGACTAACTGCTGTGTGCAGATCAGCCCTTTTGGGAATTACCACGGTATACAATTTGTGTCACTGTCTCTAAAATTGAAACTTACCTTCATCTGCTTAGATACCATTTAATTTACACATCTCATACGTTTCATAGAAATCAAGGGTGTGACAAAGACACTGATTCACCATCTCTTGGACTGTGTTATGTTCTATTTAGGAGAAGAAATCATAGCCTATAAGCCACCAGGATTTAGTCTGATGTATCATCTTCTGAATGAGTCACCCATGTTGGAGCTTGCTCTTAGTTTACTGGAGGAGGGCGTTAAGCAGCTTGATACCTATGCTCCTTTCCCTGGTATGTGTCTGAATGTCTTCATATCTTGAAAACCATTTTGATACTTTTGTTTTTTGTAAACTGAAGGTTTGAAGTAGATGACCTCTGAAGTTCTTTTTCACTGTAAGATTCTTTCTGTATTTACAGTATTGTTTTAGTGAGCCATACAATGCAAGTGTATTAAATGCAAGTATATTAAAACTGAATGCAGACTAAAGTACAGAGACTCTCATTATAACTGTCTTATTGCAGGGTCTCTGATAGGTAATTATAATGTCTCTTACCACTTTAACTTCTTTAACATGCCTAACTTTAAAGTACCTTTTGTTTTATTTTCTCCATAGGATTTGTAAAAGCACTTAACTATTGTGTATGGTACATAGCATTCAATACATTTCATTTAATATTGCTGTTACTACTAATTTAATTCATTTACTGAATGCTTAGTCTGCACCTGGCACTTTTAAAAACACATTACGTATATTAATACATTTAACCTGTGCAGAAGTCCTGTGTGGTAGATATTGTTTCCATTTAACGAATAAGGAAGTTGATACAGAAAGAGGTTGCACATCTCTCTCCAGGGTCAGGGCTGTGATTTGAACATAAGCAGTTTGGCTCCAGAGCCCATATGTTTTAAATTTGAATGATGGGATTATAGATGACCCTTATATTTTCTACATCCTTATTTTCCAAATTGTCCACAGTGAGTGTGTATTGTTGTAAATCAGTTTCTAGGCCTCAGCACCATTGACGCTTTTTGACAGAATACTTCTTTGATGTGGAGGCTGTCCTGTGTTGCAGGCCTGTACCCACCAAATGCCTGCAGCACATTCCTTGTTGTGACAGCCAATGTCTCCAGACATTGCCAGATGTGTTCTGGGTCCAGAATCACTCCCGTTGCTGTAAATAATTAGGGAAAAGATACAGAAAAAAACACTGAGAAGCCATTGCATTAATGTAATCTGGGTCACAGAAGTTACTCTGATTTGCCTGGGTGAGCAGTTTTGTGAAGTTACTGCTGAAGGTTTGAAAACTTGAGGGCTTTTTGAATCTGGAACTTTTCCTTTATCATGTTTTCCTAAGAATTGACTATGAGTTTCTAAGATTCACGTGGAACTTTCTAAGTTTGATTTTGGTCCATAGGGAAGAAACACCTGGAGAAAGCAGTGCAGCACTGCCTTGCACTTCTCAATCTTACCCTGCAGAAGGAAAACCTCTTCATGGATCTTCTAAGAGAGAGTCAGCTGGCTCTAATAGTCTCCCCTTTAGAACAGCTGTTGCAGGGAATCAATCCCAGAACTAAGAAAGCTGATAATGTGGTGAACATCGCCAGGTAGGTTCCATCTGTAGGTAAGGAAATGATGTAATGAATCAGATGACACTCTAGCTTTGATTTCCAAATCTGGTCAGAACTCTAATGCATCACATGAAAATCTTTTTAGTCTCATTATTGTCTTATCTAGCTCCTCTGATTTTAGTTACCTGAACCTTATAATTTCTTTTTTTTCTTTCTGATTTATTCTATGTCCTAAAAATTTCTAAGTATAAAATGACATAATATTGTTTGCCTCCTGTAGGGAAGTTGGATGTCTGGAGGATAGAGCTGAGGAGCAAACTTTTCTTTGTATACATCTGAACTTCTGGTGGTTTGCTGGCAGTGCTTGGTGGTCCATGACTTGTAGAGGCATTACTCCAATCTCTGCCTTCAGCTTTACATGGCATTCTCTCTGCATGTCTGTGTCCAAATTTCCTCTTTTTATAAGGGGATCAGTCATTGAATTAGGGCTCTCCCTGATGACCTCATCTTAACTTAGTTGACTGTATCTGCAAAGGCTCTATTTTGAAATAAGGTCATTCTGGATTTGGCTATCAAAGTACGAATTTTGGGGAAACACAGTTCAACCCTAACAGGCTACATCTAGTTAGAAGGGGAAACTTTTGTCTGATTTACCCAAAAATGTGTCTCAAATGTTTTCTTGTTTTAAAGATACCTATATCATGGCAATAGTAATCCAGAATTGGCTTTTGAAAGTGCCAAGATCCTCTGCTGTATCTCTTGCAATTCCAATATTCAGATAAAATTGGTTGGAGATTTCACACATGACCAGGTAACTGATTTTGTTGTGGTGGTTATTTTTTGGTGCCTCCTAAGTATATCTTATTCTTGTTTGTGGAGAATTTCTCTGAGGATAAGTACATTTGTTTATGATGGATGAAAGCCTCTTCATGTGTTGGGCTCTGGTTTGTATTTGAAGACAATACCATTTTCAGTGCTACTATGCACACTGTGGTGTGTGATTCTACCATATATACTATAGTATGTGACCGTATGTTGCTGCGCTGAGTGCATTAAAGTGATTATTAGGTTTATAAGTGTAACTTCTGTTTGTTTTTTGCATCCTTCGTTTCATCCTTTCTCAGTTGCCTCTCCTGAGTGAGCCTCTGCAATTCTGATTTCACTGTTGTGAGTTGTCTAGTTCTGTGGCTTTCTGCTGACCTACATTTGTATCTCTTCATTTGATAACACACTATGGAGAGTTTTTAGATGTCCCTCTTTTTTTTTTTCTTTTTTCTAAATTGAAATCATGGTATATCCTCAGAGGCATTATGAATATTTCTTTCTTTTTTTAACATTTTTTATTGATTTATAATCATTTTACAATGTTGTGTCAAATTCCAGTGTTCAGCACAATTTTTCAGTCATTCATGGACATATACACACTCATTGTCACATTTTTTTCTCTGTGATTTATCATAACATTTTGTGTATATTTCCCTGTGCTATACAGTGTGATCTTGTTTATCTATTAGATGTTCCTCTTTTAATCCAGTCTGTAAGTTCTCTATTCACTGGATAGCTATAATTGGGAAATCCAGTTCACTAGATAGCTATAATTGGGCAATCTTCTGGTTTTTTTTTCTCTTTATAGACATTTGTCCCCTTGTATTTTATGTTGGAAAGCACTGCTTTAGCTAGTTGAGTTTTATTGTGTATTCCTTCACAGTGTTTTGAGATAGCGACTCTTCTGGAATTTTGGGTGGACAGATCATTTTATGTGTAACTGCCCCTCAAATTGCAGGACTCTTAGCATCCCTGGTGCCCTCCCACCATCTGTCAGTAGTAATCTCTAGTTGTGACAACTCAAAATGCCCCCATATATTTCTAAGTGCCTTCTAAAGTGGCAGTGCACCCAGATTGAGAACCACTATTTATAGTAAAACAGAGATGTCTAATCTGGTTTTTGGATAAGATTCATGAAACCACTTGATCACCAGGAGATGTTGAAGATGCAGATTTTCAGGTCATTGGCATTCATTTTAGTATGAATAATTATTACCAGTTTTATCCTCCTGCTAAATTTCTTAAAGGAATAGTATCTGATCTCTCAGCCCAGAAATATAAAACTGGTGTAAGGAGTACATTTCTAAATAGAGGAGAATTTTATTTTATATTTTAGTCAAGGTCTGATAGCACTGAGTATATAATGAAGAGGTTATAAAACAGCAATTTCATTTTTTTTTTAAACTAGTCTGATTCTTTGGGACAAAGAAAATTAGGGAAGCAAGTTTGGAAACCAATAAACTTTAAAAGTTTTTATTTCTTCAATTATTTCTGTAGCGAGCTAAATGGAAATTTATGGAACTGAGTTTTCTATTAATTAAAAATGTAACTAGATTTAAATACTTTCCTTGGCGCAAACTTCCTTTTTTCTCTACAGACAAATGTTTATAAATATGTCATGCTTATCATAGTTTTTCTAATATTTAGAAACTTATTATAATTTATCTTGTAATCTTTATATGACTTCAGAGTGTAAGTCAGAAGCTGATGGCTGGATTTGTGGAGTGTTTGGATAGTGAAGATACAGAAGAATTTGTACGTCTAGAAGAGGGTAATGTCTTAGATTAACATGATTTTTTTTTACTTTATATAAATACTTAATATTAAAGAAAACTGTTAAATATCTAGTAGTGATGTAACAGAAATTTGAGAATTTGCTAGCATAAATGTATATAAGGCTTTTAGGAAATCTTAAATCTGAACTCACTGTAATGGCTAATCAAATAACTAAAACTGAAGTAAACATGGAGCTTTGGAATACAAGTTTTATATTTTGCAATCTGACTTAGGTTAACCTTTTATTGTTCTGTAATTTTGTTTGTGATTTCTACATTAAGGATCAGAACTTGAGAAGAAATTAGCTGGAATCCGTCATGAAACGAGAATCCACATCTTGAATCTTCTCATCACCTCTCTGGAACGCAATCCACCCAATCTTGCTCTCTACCTTTTGGGCTTTGAATTGAAGAAACCTGTCAGTACCACAAACCTACAAGACCCAGGTATGGCCATAAGACACACAGACATTTATTTCTTTTCATATTTATGTAGCTAAATGGTCATTTATTGAATTCTGGACTCGTGAGATAATTCACTGAAGAAAAGAATGTATGAAAGGTAATGTAATGGGTCAGTCTTTAGGGCTTAGATCAAGTCTGCACAAGCTAAGCCTTAGAAAATCAATATTTAACAGGTTTTCTGTGTCAGTAGTTGAAAAGATGTTTGCAGTAGAGTATATGTGTATGGAATTTAGCTTTTGTAAAGGTTTTTCAGGTTTCTAATGCAGAAATTTTAAAAGAAAAACTGAATTTCCTTTTTGGTTTCACGCAGGAGTGCTAGGTTGCCCTCGGACATGCCTTCACGCCATCTTAAACATCTTGGAGAAGGGAACTGAAGGGAGAACAGGCCCGGTGGCAGTGAGGGAATCTCCTCAACTTGCTGAGCTGTGTTACCAGGTACACAGAAGGCTGCACTTTGTAGCACTTAACGATAGAAGAAGCTTAACTAGGTGCTTCAATCCATCACAGATAGGAAAGTATAACAGTAGGACTGAGTTGAAATGAATTCATTTAGTAGCTTGACCAGTCTTTCATTAATGTATAAAATCCATAAAGCACAAACCCAAGATCCTGTAGATCTATAAGATCCTATATGTTAATCACTTGAAAAATAAGGGAAATTGGATGGCCTTAGACCAGACAACGTAGGAACTTTCCAAGGACGCTATGTTTCAAATAGTTTCTTTTTGGTGGAGAAAGTAGTGGATTTGGGTCAGAAGACCTCTGGTTCCTATCTTTACCCCTTAAGTAGCTAAGTCACTTTGGGCATCCTGTGAAACTTCTCTTGAGTTTTTAAAGCTGTGAAATGGACTGTTGTGAGACTTAAATGAGAATGTAAGAATGTAAGGGAAAGTGCTTTTTAAGAACCATGTCGATTATGCAGCCCTGTAGCTATATATAAGGTGGTAGAAAATCAAATTAATGTAAGATTAGACTATAATGAGAACTGCTGTTTTACTTGTGTTTTATTGTTTTTTGTTTTCTTTATTTTATAAGTATTTAAAGAACTAGGCTTTGTAAGATACAACTAATTTCTCCATTTAAGTTGTACCCTGATTCACATTTTCATGACAAGAAATACGTCATTAACTTTTAGTAACATGGAGCTTTTTCTTTGTTATTCTCCTGTTTTTCTTTTTGTAATTCTTTGCTCTTTTCTTCTGTCCTCTGGCTATCCAAACAGCCCTTCATGCTAAGTACTACAGTGAGGTCTTCCTGTGAATCCCTTAGTAAGGGAACAAACTTGATGTATATTTTAGCACAGTGTTTACAGAATTTGAGATACTTAGGTAGAAGCAATTGATGTGGTTAATCATCTGAGCTATTGGAGTTAGGCAGGTTAAGTAAGTGAACGAAGCCAGATTTAAGACACATAGATGCGGAGGGAGAGAGGGGCGGAGAACCTGGCAGACTGGAGAGCACATGCCCTGCTACTTGGCCCCTGCTCATTTGTACAAGTTTGGAATGCGAGCCCTGGTTTGCCAGATCCTCTGCTTTTCAAAACACTGTACTGGCCAAACAAAACATGTCTAAACCAGCAGTCTGCCAGTTTATTACATATGCTCTGTGACTCTGCTACTCGAAGTGTAGACCAGCATCATCAGCATCCCCTCCTGGGAGCTTGTTAGTGTAGAATCTCAGGCCCTACTCCAGGCCTGCTGATTCAGAACCTGCATTTTAACAAGAAGTGCTGTTCCATATTTAATGAGAGACGCTTCCTTTACCTCTAGGTTTATACTCTACTATGCTTCAGGAAAGAAAACAAACCTCTAAGAAGAGCTTGTTAGTTTAAAAATAAATCTCAGTATATGAAAGGGAAATAATTTGGGCTTTATTGGTACTTTCATCATCTAGCCGTGTAAGGCCTTCTGGGTGAAGAGTTGACACTGAGCTTTTTGCCTTTGCCCTCTTCTCTTTAAGGATGGAGAGTTTTTCCAACCTGCTTTTGGGAACTAGGAAGGATACTAGGTACACCCTTGTAAAGAGGCTTTTCATGCTTTTGGAACTCACTTTTTGTGTCCTTCTCATTCTAACGGTATTACCTCCCATATTTCTGAGCATCTGTCCTTCTGTCTCTTTAACCTGCCATCAGTAGGAATAACTAGTTTTTGTTTTGAGAAGTTCAATATTTATAGAGTATCAAAAACTGTTTAAAAGAAAAGCTTATATCTGCAACAGAACTATTTACGTTTTTACCTTGTGTTCTCTTGTCTTTTCGTTGTGCGTACATATTGTATATTTAGTTACGTTCAGTAGACATACCACTTTGTGTCCTTCCCCTAACTCCACCTCTATAAACGTTCTATGCTGCTACAATGTAAATTGCACTTAAGATTGTTTCCAGTTTTTTTACTGTGCTTTACTCAACATCTTTAGTTACCTTTTGTTGTTTTATATTTTTCTTAAGACTGTATTTCTGGACACAGATTTAATTTACAGCCAGTTGTCATTACTAGTTTTCTAAAGTCACAGCGAACACTGAATTGGTGAATACTGAACCACTGCTCTTTGGAAATATATAAGGTTAGATTCCTGCAAGGTATACTCTAGTCACAACACTTTCATCAACTGATGAATGTATAGCCTTGGTTTTCAGAAGTTACTTCCAAGTAATTTGCTACTAATAATAGTTAAAATACTAAAACTTGGTAATTAACTATATATGATTTCAAGATTAGTCCTATAATAATGTCATCAGCATTCTCCAGTTGTATTCCAATATATTTTGAGTTGGTGTGCCAAGAACTGCTTATAACGCTGAGCTTCTATTTTATATATACATGTGTTTATCCATTTTGAGTTGTTAATGGGTCTTAGTTTCTGCTTAGTAGACTTAAGCTCACTTTTAATCTTAAAATGTGTAATGCAGAAAACTGATTTGGGGATTTTCTTATTTTATTGTAATTCTTTAGGTGATATATCAGTTGTGTGCGTGCTCTGATACATCTGGTCCTACTATGAGATACTTGAGAACCAGCCAGGATTTCTTATTTTCTCAGTTGCAACATTTACCTTTTTCTAACAAAGGTAGGATATTATTTTCCCTTATTACTATAACAAATTTGTAAAATTTGTATTGAGTTGATTTTAATTTTCCAGCATTTGAGGGTAGCAGTTTTAGAATTTGTGGAGTTTCATTCTCATTTTGTTACTTTGCTTCTGTGTTACATTAGGTTGCTTTTGTAACTTGTGTTTGAGAAGCCTGATATTTTAACTGCCAGCATAAACTTATTTTAAAGGAATTTGAACCTTATACTAACATAAAATTTTTTAATTGTTTTGAAGGAATAAGAAAATATTTATGTAAGATTTCAGAAATTTAGATTTTTTGAGTGAAAATTGTTTTGTAAAAAGCTCTGTTTTACTTCTGTTTCTTGTCTATATATTGAAACCAATTCGAGTCTTGAAATGAAAAGTAGAAAACTATTTATGGTAACTTTAGTTTATTGACCTGATCAACACAATTATCCCAGGCTTACCTATGTTTTATAGGATTCTATTTTATATAATATTCTTTTTGATCAATTTTTAATAATATTCTGAGTTATATTATATCCACATAGTAGTGGTTTTATTGACTTTTTTAAAAGTTTATTTTGTATCATCTTTATGTTTTAGGAAATCTAAGCTCACAAATTTCGTAATAAATTTCCATTACTGGTAATTATCAGCTTCTATTTACTTTTTAAACTATGGTGTGAGAGACTGTTGGGAATTATCTAATGGCAAAAATTTTTCACTTCATTTTTATTATAAGTGTATTTTATTTTTAATCTGAAGATTTTGTTCATAAGGTTTTTAAGAAACCCTTTTTTATACCTAATTAGAAAAAAAACTTAATATCTTGCCTATTATGGTGTCTACTTTAAAAAAATTTACCTAACTTTGCTCATAGTAATAATATTATTATTAGTAGTAGTAGTGTTTGGTGAACTTTATATAATTTAGGACTTCAAAGCCAGGCATTTAAAAATAATACTGGATTCAGAAACTTCTGTTGTAAGTGATTCCCAATCCGAATTATATGTTAGACCAAATGTCCTGGGTAATCTTAAGACATCATAAAATTACGGAATTTAAATTTATTTCAATTTTTTAAAATGTATTTTTTTAATAAAAATCAAATTGTATCATAGTTAAAAAGTTAAATATTTGAGAATTACTTGGGTTTTCTGTTTAAATACTAAATTCTGTGTTAATGAATTATGTCATAGACTCAGAATTCTGTAGATTTGTGTGAAATTATTCTGGCAACAGAAACTTGATTCTCTTTTGTTCTTCAGTTGCTTTTGCTCACTTTTCATAGACATGTACTAGCTTATTTTTTCTCCCTTGACATCTGTTTTTTTTTTTCTTTTTAACTTTACAGAGTGATAAATTATTATGTTGCCAAGTTTCATAAATTATTAACTTTATGATATATGTGAAAATGTCTGATGAGTTACGGATTTTAAGTCTGTCTGATCTTGTGTTATTATTCTGAGAAATTAAGCATGTATTTAAATTCCAGAATATGAAATATCTATGCTGAACCAAATGTCATGGCTGATGAAGACTGCCTCAATAGAACTAAGGGTAACTTCTCTGAATCGTCAGCGGTCACATACCCAGAGGCTCCTACACCTCTTACTGGATGACATGCCGGTGAAACCATACTCAGGTGAACATGTGAATGTTGGCATTTGTTTTGTTCTGTTGCTGACTGGTCTCTGAATGCCAGCACAAATCTGAGTCTTGTGTTTAGTATGTGATTGGAGGCCAAACAACTTCTTTCTGCCTTTAGAATTTTTTTTTCTTCAAACACAAAATTTAAAAATCACCCATAATTGCCATTTTATTATTGTTTGAAGCATCCACATTTTGCTATATTCATATACACAAATATTCATTGGAGTTTGTCACACTTAGCCAGCATGACCCAAGATATTCTAATATGTATTTTACATGCAAATTAAGCATGAGCTTTTCTAATCATCTCAGTGGCATGATTGGGTCCTGCCTCTTTTGGAGCTTTGATTATCCTCATTACAATTGTGAACTGGATCCCATAGAGACAGAAATAATTAGATGCATGTTGCTGATAAGTCCTCATCATCTTTGCATTTTAATTATCCATTTGTAAGGGGCTTTTTGACCTAGAAACAATGACATAGAAATAAAATACCTTATGTTTGTTATTTCCAAATAAATTTTTTGAGTGTGTTGTTCTTTTTCTGATCTATTATTGCTGATGCTCCAACAGATGGGGAAGGAGGAATAGAAGATGAAAATAGATCTGTCTCTGGGTTCCTGCATTTTGACACTGCTACAAAAGGTAAAGCCCTTTGATTTGGTAATACATTTGCAGATAAGTATATATCAAATTGCCTAAAATTTCAAGAGATAAATAATGCCTTTATCTGCAAATTCTGAACTGGTATAGAAAAGCTATGTAAAGGGTTATGTATCATCAAAAAATTCTTTTATAACTAGAATGATAGGATGGGAAAAATAATTTTGCAAATGGATATATTAGAAATAAAATCAAATTTAGATTTCAGCACAGTCTTCAGTTTCCAGAATGATAGTACTGTCTTTGTGAGCTGAGTACAATGGTTTGCTCTTCTCCTCAGTGTCCCAAGTAAAATTGAACTACTTTTTATTATTTCTAGTGCGTCGAAAAATTCTAAGTATTCTCGACTCCATTGACTTCAGTCAGGAGATTCCTGAGCCTTTGCAGTTAGATTTCTTTGATCGAGCCCAGATTGAACAAGTTATTGCTAACTGTGAACACAAGAATTTACGGGGACAGACGGTCTGCAATGTCAAGGTGAGCATTGTTCTAGACTGTGTACAGTATTAAGTAGTTCAGGCGTTGAGTTGTTAGGAAAAAATAACTTTTTTAATCTAACAGAAATACTGGTTTATTGGTGTTCACTTTTCAAACAGCCAGGAAATAAAACTGAATAGGCCACACTACAGGGTTCCCTGTTACCTTCCTCTTAGTAGTCATGCCACCCAGCTATGACTGTGGAGAGGTTTTAACTGTTTAACTCCCTACCAGGTAAGTGGAAATGGCCTCACTAGTAGGAAGAAGATACCCAGGCTGCACTGAGTTTCCTGCCACAGAGGCTCTTTGGTACCACTGTTTGGAATGGGAGGGATATACCCACTGTTTTTGACAGAAACTGGACAGTGCCACTATTAGGTCACATGTAAAGGCATCTGAAACTTTTCCCTTTAGGGCAGTTTATAGTAATTGCTAGGTAATTATTCTACTGGTGTCTGAAATGGTCTTATTTTTTCTCTCTTTTCTCAATTATATAGCTTCTCCATAGAGTTCTGGTAGCAGAAGTAAACGCCCTTCAGGGTATGGCAGCCATAGGACAGAGACCTCTACTGATGGAGGTGAGCCCTGTTGAGTATATGTCAGTTTAACCTTTTAACTGCCTAAACTACTTAAATTGCCAGTAACAACTGGTTGATTGAAAAACAGTAAATTGATTTCTAGTTCATCAATCAGTAAACTACTTAAAAAATTAAACTTTAATCTTTCAGTTTTGATTTAGAGCCGTTATAAGCTGAACTCGGGTTAATGTCTAGATGCCAGAGTAAATAACATCTTTTCTGCTAAGCTAGTTGAGGATTTACAACCTGCCTATATTGTGTAATAGACTTCACTTGCTCCCTCTCAGTGAGGGAGGAAAGAGTCGTTTCTCATCACAAATGGGGAAATATGGGTCAGAGATCAGGTGAGAAGGACCACACATACATGGAAACACAGCCAGCTAGCCCAAAGCAGGAGACAGAGAAATAAAGACACATCAAGGAAACATGCCATTGAACTTGAGTTTTAGGCAACTCTCGTGCTCCACAGTAAGTATAAGTAGACAGTTGCAAGAAGGAAGATGGGTTAAAAAACTGATTTCCACCCACATCACCTCTGCCTTCTGCCTTATACACTCACCCACCCGCCCACACAAATACACACACACAAACACACACACAGCCTTGTGTATTATTTTTCATAGCTCTGGCCACCAGTATAACATGAAAAAGTTATCTGCTGACTGGCATGCATGCATAAGGTTTCCACAGTATACTATAAATGTTTTCAGATCAACTGGCAGTGTTAAAAATATAAACCTGTTGGTAAAAGACATTATTTGCCTGTGTGTTAACCTTGTGATTCAATTTCTGTGGCTTCAGGAAATCAGCACTATACTTCAGTATGTGGTAGGAAGAAACAAGCTGCTGCAGTGTCTTCATGCAAAACGGCACGCACTGGAGTCATGGAGGCAGCTGGTAGAAATTATACTGACAGCTTGTCCCCAGGACCTCATTCAGACAGAGGATCGACAACTGATTATTCGTGATATTTTACAAGATGTGCATGATAAGGTGACATGCTTTCTAAATTACTCTATACTGCTGAACAAATATTTACATCATTTAAATAGTTTGCCACTCTCCTCTTTTTCCATTTTAGATTTGGAGTAAATAGAGTTGTGCAATGCCAATGTTAAGACTTTCCTTGAGAAATGTATTAACTCTGTACAGTAATGGCTCTCAACTAGAGTGTGTATCAGAATTTTCTAGGAAGCTTTTTAAAAATAAACATAACAGATCCTACCCTAGACATACTAAATGGAACACTCTAGTGGTAAGCCCATTGTGTCAATTTCCTTTGAAAACCTTAGGAAATATAATAGGGATTTCTTCTGGTTAAGAACACATCACTCAGCATCCTTTTTAAATTTCTTTTTATATATTAGCTTTCATTTTCTTTGCACAATACAATTCCATTCTTACATTCTTATGGCAGATGAAAAGCTAAATGTATACAACATGTTAATGACTGTAGCCGAAAGCAGGATCCTCACTCTGATTTGTCTTTCTGCTTTAAGATACTGGATGATGAAGCAGCACAGGAGTTAATGCCAGTGGTGGCAGGTGCTGTGTTCACCCTGACTGCTCACCTCAGCCAAGCCGTTCGCACAGAACAGAAGCAACCATTGGTCTTGGGACCCGGAGAGGCCCATTATGTGCTTATGCTTGATAGTCCTTTCACCTCACCTCCTCCAGCAGAAAATCCAGTGGTGGGCTTTGCTTCTATTGGCGATTCTTCACTTCACATCATATTGAAGAAACTGTTAGACTTCATTTTGAAGACAGGTTTTTTAATCTAAATTTTCTATAAATTACAACTTTTGTATTTGTTTTAACCTTAATTTGAAAAAAGGTTTTTTACTTTACTGTATTTTCCTAGGTGGCGGATTCCAGCGAGTGAGGACACACCTGTATGGCTCTCTGCTTTATTACTTACAGATTGCCCAGAGACCAGATGAACCAGATACCTTAGAAGCAGGTATAATTAGAGAGATTTCTAATCTTTTCTGTTCTTAGACAATGGGGGTTACTTTAAATTTTTTAAGAATCACTTTTTCATCTTTGGATAAGCCAAGCAATAATAAATGAGTCTTTGTGGATAGAATCATTAAATTGCTTATTCTAAAGTCAACGAAGAATGTTTAGTTTTCTGAGATTGTGATGATAGTATATGAGTGATATAAAAACAAACCCTCAAATACCACTTTAGCTTGTATATTTTTATAACTCCGTCTCACCTCTGGTCCCATTGAACAACACAAACAGTACATACCTAGTTGAATCTTTAAAAATGGCTGTTATTCCACGTTTGGAAGTAACATTTATTTAACCATTTGCTTTATTCATAAGCATTTAAATTGTTTCTAATTTTTTACATAATATCTTCTTAGAAAGTAATAATAGCCAAATGATATATTTATAGTAATGTCCTACCAGCTTAAATAATGCACAAAAATACCTTTAAGGTCATTACAAATAATAGTTCAGAGAAGCTTTTTAAACAAATAGCTTTTTTAAGAGATAGTAATGGAGATTTCACTCCCCACTGCTTTCTGCCAACACACCTCCCCCATTTTCCTCTTGACTGAAAAAAAAATTTTAACTTTGTATTTAGTTGAATTGGCAAAAATCACCACTTAACCACTAGGTGGAGTTCTACAACATGCTATATAAGAAGTCATTATCAAGATGTGAATACAGTGAGATCATAAAAGAAAATTCTCCTTTGTTTTTAGTTTTTAAGTGATCTACTTTTAGCCCTTAATCATTTTTTTCTTAGTCATAGTTATTGCTTATTTTGATTTATTTTAAATAGCAAAGTACTTTATTCCCTAGATACTATTTTTTTAAGATTAAAGTTAGAAATATTAAATTTAATAAACATTTATTGAGCATATACTTTTGTGCCAGACACTGTACCTACTTTTCATTTGTTTTAAAACAAAAACTGAATTTTTAATATTTGTGTACTTATTTTTCCATACCACTTTTACTTTATTTTTAACATTACCATATATAGTGGGTACTGGCAGTCATGTTCCCTGTTTTGTTTAAAAGGAATCTGACATATAGAGGCTAAGTGACTTGCTTGTTTGTGACATGTCTGAGAATTAGAATTCAGTTCTCTCAATTTGTAGGAGAATGTTGTTTCTCCCAACCTTAGCATGTCACATCTTCATCTTTTTATTTTATCTTTTTGTAACTGATAATTTTTCCTTATTGTAATTTGGTAGGTAATGCCAGCAATGTGTTTATAACTTGTATCACAGTTGATTAATTTCTAATATATAAAGGGCATCTACGAAACAAAAATCTCTGTAAGTACCTATTACCTTGAGCTGGCAATGCAGTAGGTCTGGGGAGGAACCAAAGATTGTATATGTTTTGATAAAATTATTTGGAGGATCTTATATTTCTCCCTAATTAAGAACAGTGTAGTTGAAATCTGACATTGCTTTTGCATATTCCTGGGGGTTAGTTGACAACCACTGACATCATGAATCTCCTCTTTGTCTGTATTCTTTTTGCTTTCTATTTCCTCTTGTTTCTGCCAGAGATCACCAGGAGGAAAATGTAGATTATTTGACCAGAGCCTACATGTTTAATAGGAACCACAATTATTATATTCTAAATTT